TGATATATGGAGGGGATAATAATCAATGTAATGAAACAAGCTATATGAATGGTTGAATGTGAAGCTGATGATGTGCCCTGTAAACTTTCACTCAATGCAAAATAAAAACATTTAATTAAAAAAAACACACACACACACACACAGTGATAAAGCTAGAGTTTGGGACCACCAAGCAAATAAGCCGGGAATCATTTTATCATTCAGGGATAGGCCTGTAGGCAGCATCGTTGAGGGGTCCCCCGCTCAGACCGTCAAGAGCCATCACACCAACCTATTACTCCTTGTTGCTCTGCGTGCTGTGAACCTAAATCTGCTTTGTCTTGGCAGGTGAAAGCTGATAAGGACAGCCCCAACCTCGCACAGCTCCAACAGGCCTCTCGGGGGGTAAACCAGGCCACTGCTGGAGTCGTGGCCTCAACCATTTCTGGCAAATCACAGATCGAGGAGACAGGTAGCCTTTCAGAAGTGATACTTTTCTTACGCATCCAATTTCACTCTACTTGGTATACTTCCCCTCCATGAGCCCAAGGACCTGCCATTTTGTTTCTAAATACTTTTCTTTAGTTTTCATCTTTCTGTTTTCAACCTATTTTCTTTTTACAGTGGGCGATACCACCTAGGCATAATGTTTGTGTCACTAAAGTGACAGGCCCCTAAATAGATTTTTCTTTTAGATGTTTCTGAATTCCAAGAAATGACTCTACAGGCCCTCCTCGGGCCAGATTGCCCCTGGGGAGAGCTGATTATGACTGCCCTCCAACCGCCACCTTCCTTCCCCTCCACCCCTCAGTTACTGTCTCGTTGTGTGTTGACAAACGCTAGACCAAGAATATCAGCAGAGTGTCAGCGGCATTGGCCATCTCTCAGGCAAGACTTTGCCAGGGACATGATGTGACAAGGCCTTCTGATTTCTCACTGCAGACAATATGGACTTCTCAAGTCTGACACTGACCCAGATCAAACGCCAAGAGATGGATTCCCAGGTAGGAACTCCACCTCTAAGTTCTAGTAAGTCTCTGTTTACCTTAGACATTGACCTCAAAGAGTATTGCTGTGAGGGAGGCAGGCAGCCGGGGGAAGGAAAGATAAATACAAATGTATCTGTTGCTGTTGTGAAATGTGGTAGAGTCGGCTAATGAAGCTACTGGCACAAGAATGAATGTAAATGTCGCTGGAAGAAACAGTGGAGGCAGAGAGAAGTAACTCCTAACTCTTGCCTCTAAATGTTAACACGGACCTCCTAGGAGTCTCTAAGCCATTATTGAATAGTCTTAACATAATTTTTTTTTCAAACTTCTGATAAAAAATGATTTCAATTTAAAACTTTATTTCAAGAGAAAAAAAAAAAAGTATACGCGGGGTCTTCAAAACGTTCATGGAAAAACGGGATTAAGATCCTGGAATTTTTCCACGGACGTTTTGAAGCCCTCTTGTGCATATGTGTATCGATGCACTGTTAACCCATCAAAGGCAATGCTGTTTCTCTAAATTGTTCAGCATGAGTGTCAATGGGATGTTGAAAAAATTTTGGACATACTTGTTCTAGAATTACTGGTCATCAGCCTCGGGGTAAAAGTCATATGGCCAAATTCTGTCCAAATTTTCAGCTGTGTCCTGAAAATTTACAAAGGTCTCTATTACTTAGTGGTCTCATCGCGTCTCTCATGACATTAATACCATCTGGTGCCATGGGTTAATGCACCAGACTGCAAAGTCGGTTTAAATTGAAAGGTCGGCGGTTCAAGTTGACTAGTTGCTCCTCGGAAAACCTCTACAGAGTCACTATGAGTCAGAACAGACTCAATAGCACTTAAGACTATATGCAGAATAATGCACTGGACCGCGAGGTCATTTTGAACCACAAGGTCAGCAGTTCAAATTCACCAGCCAGAGGCTCCTTGGAAACCCAGGGTCACTATGAGTCAGAACTGACTCGATGGCTTAACAACATCTGGTGCTGATGAATACCAAATTCTTCTCCCCAGCTCTGAGCTTCTCTCGAGCTCCATACGTTGACAACTGCCTATTTACTGTCTCCACTTGGATACCCAATAAGTTAAGTTTCCCACACCTAACATATCCAAAGCAAATATCTTCATCTCCCACCCAAATTTGCCCCTCTCCTCTCTTCTCTGTCACAGTAAATGGCTCCACCACTGACTTGGACACTTGAGTCACCCTTGGGTCCTCTCTTTCCCTCACCCCCAACACCCAGTCCCTCAGCATGTCAAGTCAACTCAAAATCTCCAGAGAGTAACCTGGATCATTCTGCTTCTTTCCAATTCCCCACCCAAGTTCCAAGCCCCCATCACCTCTCACCTGAGCTACTGCAAGAGCAAACTACCTTTGTTGTTGTTGTTGTTAGGTGCCATTGAGTTGGTACCAACTCATAGCGACCCTATGTACAGCAGAACTAAACACTGCCCAGTCCTGGGCCAACCTCACAATTGTTGCCACGCTTGAGTCCATTGATGCTGCCACTTGGCCAATCCGTCTC